GGGCGGCGAGTTCTTGAAGGGCTTTGGGCCGTACTCCGTCAAGTACTGGTCCCGAGTCCGGGCCATGGCTAAGCGTGGCTTGCTGCCGGAGGGTGCGGCCACAGTAGGTAGTCTTCGTTATCTCTTACTCCTCTTCTATCTCGCCATATTCCGACTCGGAGCACTTCACACTTTCTCTTCCTTTTTACAGGTCCATACGACTCCGACTCTTCCAGCTCCGACGAGGCGTTTGCACCGACTCCCGAGATGGCAGACAGAGCCGAAAAGATGAGGCGTCGGCTGCTCCAACGCTCCTCCGGTACTGCTGCCGCCTCTTCTTCTCTACCGTCTCCAGCTCCCAGGCCGACTCCTCCTCCTCCTCAGAACGTGGTGGATCTGACTCCATCACCAGTGGTGTCGCCCACTCGGCAGCCACCCTCCCGCTCAGACAGAGAGCTCCGGCTCTAAGCGCCCGGCTGCTCAAACTGACGAGTCGGCCCCAAAAAGGATCCGGCTGTGTCATGAGGTGGAGGAGGATGCCCAGATCTGGATGGGCACCTCCTCTGTCCGCAAGTGGTGTGTCGTCTCGTTTTCTTGGCTCCGAGCATTTCTCCTATTCAGCTGGCTTCTCAAGTCGGCCTCTCGTCCGTTGTCGTGACGGCTCGACTGTTCTTCACTTCCTGCCATGTCTGGAGTTTTCCTGATTCTACTATTGTTCCTCGGACTCGCCTCACTCAAGAGGACACGTGACTCTTTGTTCGATCCCCACAGACGGTGCCAGTGATGGTTTTTGGGTTTTCGGGCCCAAGGAGGTCCAACACAACCTTAAGCTGGAGGATACACCTTTCACAAAAAGTCTAGATTTTCAATGAAGTATGGTGCTCAATAGTGCTTTCCATTTCCCTCTCCGGGTGTCCGGAAAATGTCTACCTTTTACAGGAATGGAGGAGCCCTTATATAGTGGCTCCTCCTCTGTCGACTTGAAGGCCCTTAATGGCCGACTTCAAGGCTAATCAAGGTATGGAGCCGTTGGACGCCATTACTCGGCCAACCAACGGCTCTCCTAGGCCTGTAACGGCCCGACCGGGTCCTACCTTCAATGCTGCAACGGCTCTCTTTAAAGGAACCTCTTTAATGCCCTCAACGGCTCCTCGAGCCGGGTCCTTTCCTGGGCTTGGGCCTCGGCCGACTCCTGGACTCGACCTGACTACTCTTTGGGCTTCTCTCGATGCTGGCCCACTTCTATTTTCTTTGGGCCCCTATATCTTGGGCTGGGGTCCTTACCCCATCAGATATATTATTTTCACTGTTTATTCGTTCGATTAAATTTCTCGTTTATTTAATTTCTCTCTTATTTAATAGTTATTCTCGACATATTCCAAACCCCCCATCGTTTCCTTAAGCACAAAGGTTAAACTAGTTACTCCTCGTGGGATCGATCCTTACTCCCGCTACTACGTTTGTAAGGTTTTAATTTGGGAGCCTACGACAGCTCACCAATATATATATTTGAATATGTCAATACTGAATATCAGCTAGCAGACATCCTCACAAAACCACTCAGAGAAGGAATATTTTCATCTCTTCGTCACGAGTTGAGAATGTTAGAAATGGCTTAATATGAGAGGTCATTTCATCACAAATACCAAGCAACATTTCTTCCACACAACCCTTGTTCCAAACCAGGTAAAGGTCATGGTCAAACTTGGTCAAACCCATAAACATAGTCAATATGTCTATTCAATATTCTTAACTTGAAGTCCAAATTCATTATACTCTGGCCAGAGATTCTCGTTGTAGGATTATTGAATAAACTAGAACATCCATGTTACCTCAAGGCGGTGGATCCTATATTGATCACACATGTCTCCGTACAATATTGAATTAGGCCACCAAGCACACTTATAGTCTCATAAGAAATAAAAGACGCATACTGGCAAAAACTAATCCACCATATGTACGAGACAACCATGTCATCCCTCAAATATTTTTAGCGAACCAAAGGATTCCTTAAAATTTTGTTATATCATTAATTAATTATTTAATTTTCCAAATTCCAAATTCCAACGACCAGCTATCACAAGCAACCGGTAAAAAGGCGTATTTCTGCGAAGTGCGAACTACATCTCACGCCTCTGCTCTTTTCCTACTTCACTGAATCTATAATCTTCGACCTTAACTAGGTCAGGTCAGTCCAGAATGTCTGAGTTTTTCATTTTATTCTTTTGCCAATTTGGAGTTCTTCAATTACCTGCCTTTATACTCATGAATATGATGTTAATCGGCAATTGACTGAGGTTAATGGTTTTAAGATTCTGTTTGATTTAATTAAGTCACAAATCTGTTGTTTATAGTGAAGTAGTTCTACTTTTCTCTTCTATATGAGGTTTGTTTGTTTGTTTTTTTTTTTTTTTTTTTTTTTTTTTCAGCTGACAATTTATGGTTTTAATCTCAATGTAATTGTAGTTGGCTAAATTCACCTTAGGAGCTCTTCGTTTCCATCCAGCAAAGAAGAAATTAAATCTGGGAATGAGATAATATTTTTCAAGAATTTATTTCACTTTTTCCATCTAAGGGGCTTGACTATATAATTTTTTTTCTTTCTAAATTAACTGTTTAACTATTAAAAACCTAAGGGAGGACCCAAATTGGTTGATTTTCACTAGTTTAGCATTAAATTTGAAAAAAAAAAAATGATAGATTAGCACCTTATGTTGAAATTTTTGAATGACAAAAGTGGAGAAATTTTTATTATTTTTTTTCCTATTATATTTGTGTGTAGCTTTGCCTGTGTTATTACTGTTAATGTATTATTCTGCAGACGATGTAGTAGTTTTTGCTGGCTTAGCTTTGCTGTATTTTACTTGGGGATGTTATTTAGTGTTTGTTTGGCTAAAGTAGATACAGACAAAAAACTGTATTTTAGAAAGAACAGAACTTTTTAGAATAAATGTCTTTGTAATTATTTAGAATGAAAAAGACTAATTTGAGAATTCAAAAGGGTCTGCAGCTTCTCAATAAAGTGATTTTCAAAGAAGTCTCAAATTATGTATGCCAAAGAAGGCAAATTGCATCGTTATGACGTTATCTACCCCAAAAATCATTTTTATATAAAACATGAAACATTGTTTGGCCAAGCTAATGGGTTCTTCGAGTAGAAAAGAGGCAGCAGCAACTTGCCAACTTGTAGGTCAAACAAGCACTTGGAGTGAAATAATTTTAGTTTTCTCTTCATTTGAGACTTTTCATGGCTCTTAGCTCGTATGAACTAAGCCTTAATCCTGGCTTAATTGGAGTTGATAAATGTGAGAGATAAATGTGTCATGGGCCAAAGAAAAGAAAAAGAAATCTGAGAATTATACCATCTTTCAGTTCTTGATATCGGTAGTTGCATATTGTGTTATTAAGACAACAATGGAAGTCAAATGAGCCTTTGATGATTTGGGAGTGTACACTACTTTGTAGTGTCCTAGTATTTTTGTCTGGTTATTTACTATGGGTTTCTATTAAATTGAATTTTAGTTTCGTGTGTTCCATTAACTAGTGTCTTTACTTTTTGTCCATTTCTTTAATCATTGTCATTCTTTGTGTTGCTCTTGCTTGACATTATAGGATTTCAGATAGTAGCCACGCCATGGGGAGATACGGGAAATGAAATTATACCCTTAGAAAACCGCTATTGTTGATATGACCAAATTCGGCAGTACCCAAGCAGCAGAACTAAGAGCCACAAAAGATGTTTTCATCTCTGCAATCCGCTATGCAACTTCCATCGTTGATCCTTCTCCTCCATTTGGCGATGAGCTCAGAACTTGTGCCCAAGAACAAGTGGAGTTTATGCTTGGGGATAATGAAGAGATTCTCGTGGTCATAGCTGATGAGGAAATAAAACAGGAGACGAGAATGGGGTTGTGCAAGATATTCTCATCGTTCGAGAAGGCATTGCTCGCCCTGCTGCTTTTGGAGCTTGACGTCAAGGACAAGGCTGTGGAGAACAAGGTAATGCAGAATCTATCCGATGTTGAGTGGCTTTGCAATATTCTCGTGAAAACGGATCTGATGAAAGACTTTGTCTCACATTGGGCTGATATATCTAATGATGTCTTGAGAGTTGTCGAGGACAAAAAACTCCATTCGGTCATGTGGGGTTTGAAGGTAAAGCTCATAGAAGTCACCTCAAAGGTTTTAGATGCCGTAGGTTATGGAAATGTGATTCTTCCAGCCCCGGGCCGGGTACATTTGCTGAAGGCATGGCTTCCATATGTAAGGAAAATGAAGCCTCTTCTAGATTCAATGGGGAACAAAGAAGCCGACTTCCCTTACAGGATGGACGAAGAGCTGTCACAGAGCATCGAGGGAGCAATAGTGTCGTTGGTTTCTGCATTGCCATCGAACAGTCAAGCTGAAATACTAGCTGATTGGATGAACGGCGAGCACCTGAAATATCCAGACTTGAGCGAGGCGTTTGAGGTATGGTGTTACCGGACAAAGTCCGCTAAGCGCAGATTGCTCGAGGCTTTGGCTGAATCGCCATTGCAATTCTCCGCCTCCGCCTCAGATTAATGAGTTGTTTGTTTTGAGCATGATGTATAACAACAGGATACCTACATGGTTTGATAATACAGAAACAGTTTCAGATTTGTTTTCTTCCTTTTTACCATTTTTTGCATCTTTCAATTCTTGGTTGCACCGTGAGTTTTCAATCATTATTGTGTGGACCATATTTTGTCTACTGTAAAATAATATAGATTCAGTACAAAAATAATGTACATTGTATTCAGGGGATGTACATTATTTTTGTTCCGAGTGTATATTATATTGTATAATATACATTCAATACAAAAATAATGTACATTTAGTATATTAAAAATGTACTTTTTGTTATGGTCCACATAACTCTTGCTGCTTTTTAACCTGGCATATATACATGTGCCCCTTCTTGTGCACAGCACATGAAATAACAAAAGAAGAAAATTACCAGGCAATTAAGGACTAAATGTGTTTGGAGTCAAATTAAAATGGAGCCAAAAGCTCATATTTTCCCAATTTATTCATTTTGGCATAAAAGAGACCTGGAAAGAAAAATACCATAATCTAATGTAGAACACTAGTCTTAGGAATGAAAAATAAATGTTATGAATACACTGGTAATATATATTAGAAGGAATGTGGTGACTCATACAGTATTAATATATCATTTTCATTTACTAAGCCTACTACAGAAACCTACTACTCTCTTATGACCTTTAAGTCTTGATATCCCCTTACAACCTCTCCCTCCCCAGCTCCCCTCTTTCTCTTTTCCACTTTTTTTTTTTTTTTTGGTCAATTGGGGCAGACAAAAATTGCCCAAACATGCGACTGCCCCGAGCACCAGGTGTTGTTGTTGCTGCAATCGCCAAAGAGAAGTATCACTCTACAGGAGCATCCCCGGGGAAATGTCAGTTTGCCGCATCCTGGGGGGTCACCCAAAAAATGCATTTCAAACACTGCAAAAGAAAGTCAGCATACAGATTAACAAAATGCAGTCTTTACTGAAATTGAAATAGGATTGCATAAAGGAAAACGAAAATGTCATTGTTTCTTATTTGTCCATCACATCCAATACTGGCAGGATATTGTAGTAGGAATGTAAATATAGATTATAGGATATGGAGTGCTGTTAGTTAATTTCAGTTTAGAGGCTGACCACACAAAATCAAGAATCCAAACTTTTATTAATGAGATATATCAAGGTAACACTAGAAATTTCTGACGGCAATCCAAGAAAGGGGCTTTGAGTTATCCGTATCTAACTGGTATAAGAAACATCAATATAAGTGATAGACCAGGTCTATAGTTCAGATAAGTAGCTCACTCACATTCTAATTGTGCTTATGTTGCATTCTTGACCAAATTAACACATCGTTTTCAGCAAGTGCACCCAAGAGGCAAATTCAAGCTTAAGGTCATGACCATACACTTGCATTGAGGTATTTACCACATGTAGTCATCTAATTATTTTTTTATTCTTTCTTGTTTTGTTTCCAAAATGATACCTAACCCTTCAGCCACTCTAGCATCAGGCATGAAAAGTCATGTCTTTTCAAACACCAAATCCAAATTTTATTCACTCGTGATGAGGGAGAAAATGTACATGCAGAACTTCTAACTTGACCGGTTTGTAAATAATAATGTTGACTATAAACCCAAAAAAAAAAAAAAACCATGATTATTGTAATAATCATGTGATTGAATAAGCAATTACACAAAATTCTTTGCCTTGAATTGAGAAGCAAGAATGCAATGAAGTACAATTGCAAAAGAATATGCATGCATTTCTAACAAAACTTTCATTCCACTGTCATTCAAGCAGTTTAATCTCATTAAGCCTCTTTCATGGAGAAAAATCAAAGACATGAATTACCTTTAAGTCCATCATTATCACCAATAATCACGACAAGAACACAATCCATCTCTGAAATGATGAAACCGCTTTGCATCACGTATAATAAGTTCCCTACCAACCAGTTTAGAGATGATCTTCATTGCACTATGGCAATCACCACAAATACGAAGGTTCTTTATGATCCGTATTGATGACCTAGCTGGACTATCAATGAGACCTCTAGCAACAGCAAGTTTCTCACTATGTGCCAGAATAGCTTCCTCCTTACCTTCTAGATCAATGTCATGAAGCACAAATTTAACTTCTGGTATATAACCAGCCTCTTTCATTTGTTGCTTTAGCCCACCCAAAAGAGCATATAATTTTTCATGATCTGGGCAAGATCTATCTCCGGCTCTATATTCATGTACCCTACTTCGAGCCTCTAGAAGACTTTGACTAGCTGATTTCTGTATTTTTTTCTCTTTTACAAGGTCTGAAGCTATGACTGGTATTAAGCCTGCCCTTGATTGTTCATTCAAGCAAGAAGGTTCAAGGATCTCAACGATGTCGGTACAACGATCCCCAAGCTCACTATTTCCATGAATTCTACAGAAATTCATCATGGTTTTCCAAACATCCACATTTGGCTCAATTGGCATCCTTTCTATGAATTCTAGAGCTTCATCCAAATAACCTGCACTTCCCATCATGTTTACCACACTCGCATAATGCTCCAAGGAGGGAACAATGCCATAATCCTTGCTCATTGATTCGAAGTGCAGCATTCCCTCAATGATGTCACCCACTTCACCACATGCTGAGAAGACCCCCAAAAAGATTTTAGCATCAGGTTTCCATCCCAATTCTTTAAATTGAGAGAATAATTCAATAGCATCTTCTCCTTGACCATTTCTACCAAACCAAGTAATCATGTGGTCCCAGGATGTAAGATTACGTTTCTGCATTTGATTGAATACTGCAAATGCATCATCCATGGAGCCACATTTACCATACATCTCAAGAATTTTATTATAAGTTTTGACTTCCAAATGAATTCCTGATCTCGTGAGGTGTTTATGAACTGATTTAGCCTCTTCTAAAACTTTATTCTCAGCACACAACATCATCAAAGATAGATATCTAGGTAAATCAACTGCAACATGCTGTTGCTCTAGCAAACCCAGAACCTTAACTGCTTCCTCAATCTTTCCCTCTTTGCAGAAATGATCAAGTTCCTCAGTCGTGCCTTTTATGCTTCCATCACCTTCATCCCTAGGAACTTGGGGTTCCACTGTAGAATCCTGCTGCAACTCATTTGAATTCCACTGAGGGTTTCCAGCATTAAGATAGTTAGTCCCACTTGTGTGTTGCTGATATCCTCCAGTATTTCCAGCATGATAGTTATCCTGCCCATACTGCATGTTCAAGGCACCAGTAGTCTGATACATAGGAACATTCGGATGATCCCCCAACTGATAGCTGCCTACATTTTGTGGCTGTCTTTGGTTGCCATTAAAATAACCACTCATGTTATTCTCGAACCCTTTGTTCACATTTCCATTGTAGCCAATAACATTCCCTGATGATCCAATTTCACTCTTACCATGAACACTGTAATGTTGTTGTTGCTGCTGCTGCATATAGGCTAATTCTCTGTTATTAACTGTATGGGGACCTGTGCCCTGTAAAGCCCTAGAACTTTCAGCATTAAATCCACCTGAACTTTCCCATACATTCCCAGAATTTCCCCAAGTGTAACTGCTAGAATTTTCATTTTGCCCAATTGGATTCTGCTTAAACTCATTTCCATGCTCATATTCAACATAGCCAGGGGGAAAACTCCCACTTTGCGCAGTAGCATTCACATTTCCATTATAAAATCCATCCGGGTTTTGCTGAAAACGCCAGTTACTGCGAGTTTGAACATAATTCTCCCGATCAAAATCATTGGAATCATTACAAAAATTTGATTTTTCAGCCGCAATGCTGAGGTTTCTCAAGAAACTACCAAGGGGTGTAGCGGAATCCGAAGAAACGGAAGACGGCCTACATACTTTGGTCAGTATTCTGAGATTGGTGATGCTCAGAAGCGTCGCCTTGCTTCTATACATCTGTCAAGCCAATCCAAAAGCATATAATGTATTAGCCAAACTTTGCTCCATATTCGTCCCCAAAATAACTTCAAAAAGTTTTACAATCGAAAAATCCAATAATAATAATAATAATAATCATCATATTAGTATTAATAACAAGCGAGAGAGAGAGGAAGGGAATTTTTCAGGAAACAGGTTACCTGACGGCTTACGGCGGACGGCGGACGGCGAAAAGCGATCGGCGATGGACGAATGAAGTCCAAGCAGGGAGGAGGGCTTTTGACAGTTGGGTAAGGGTTTTGCCCAAGGGTAAAATTTATCGTAGCAGCCCCTCATCTATGGATTGTTATGCCATGGACCCATGGTCCACCGTGTAAGGTGGATCCTCGTCTAATTTTGCTTCAAAGCGATGCCGTTTGAATTTTTTTTAAAAAAATTTACTTCTTTCTTTGCTGTTAACTTACCGTTTGTCTTCAAAATTTGTTTCTTTATGTTGAACTCTATATTCACAATTTTAGAAATTTGTATTCACAATTTTAAAACTCTATATTCACAAATTTAAAACTCAATATACAAAATTACAGAACTCAATATTCACAATTGATAAACTTTATATTCACAATTTTTGAACTCTATATTCACTAGCATGGATCTTAATAATCATCAAGAATGTGCCTCAAAGATCCATATTGCAAAGAATAAAGAATTGTTAGCTTGAATGAGCGAATTTAAAGAATTAGAGCTTGATCATTCGTGTTTGGATGGCATACACATGATGTTTGGGTGTAGCTTGGTCATTCACAAGTGTAGTTTGAAGTTGGGAAGGAATTTGGAGTCCAATGGAGGTGGTTTGAAGCGGATATGGAAGAGGAACAATGCTGAACAAAACTGCCATAAACTGTGTACGTGAGGGTGTACGTGCGTACGTGCATACGCATGGGCCTGTGTACGCGAGCCCGCGTATGTGCTTGTGAATTGGGCCGTGTACGCACCCTCGTACACGCCCTTTGTCCATGACTCGTGGCCATTTTGTGGTTCAAAAACAGAAAGTTCCACGAAAAGGGCCACGAACGTGGTTTGAGTAGCGTATGAGGTTGCGTACGCGCTGCAGGTTGCAATTTTTCCTCCATTCTTCTTGAAATTGAACTTGTAATCTCCCTAGTGACTTTCCCAGCAATGTTAGCTCAAGAACAACACTACAAAAATAACAAATCAAATGCAAAATCAAAAGAAAACACATTTTTTTTCATTTGTTTCCTTGGGTTGCCTCCCAAGAAGCGCTACGTTTTACGTCCTTGGCTAGACGAAACGTACCATTATGCGTCGAAACACACAAGCATTGGGACCGGACCTTGCGTCCTATCCACTTCTCCTTTGTGATATGCCCCTAAAGGTCAGGCATTCTCGAATTCCTTCAAGCATATGGAATGCACTAACTCCTTCAAAGAATTTACCAAGATGAAGCACAAGGAGTATGGCATCAAAGTTTTCTTCCTTCCCCTCCTTTTCTTTTCTTCTCTCATCTTTTTCACTATCTCTTTTAAGCATTTCCTTCCTTGTTCCTCCCTCATCATTTTTCTCAAACAACTTCCCCATATCAATAAACACCACATCATTCTCACTTTTTTTTTCACACTCTCATTTTTCAATGATATTTTTTTCCACAACACTCTCTTTTTCAACATGTTCATTTTCAACTCACCATTTTCACAATTTCATCACCAATCTTATCTTCAACTCCACCTTTTCTCATCACATCCACATCATCTCCAACCATTCCACCTCCAACCTCCTTGACTACATCAACATTGTTGCCAAAAGTGACAACTTCACAAATTTTCATAGCACCCTCATTATCACAACCAACAATCTCCTTAACCCCCCAATCACAATCAAAGAAATATCACAAGGATCAAGAGGATCCTTATCACAAGACTCAAAGGATGCATCACTTGGTATCTCATCATCCCACATCACCTCGTTTTCCTCACTACTTTCACTTCCCTTTTCTACCCCTTTTTTATTTTCCAACTCATGAGTTGGAATTTTCTTCAAACACGGGGGTTTCATCTAGCATGGGATCATCCTCGGCCCTTTTTGGTTCCGGGAGTGTATCAACACTCCTCAAAACGATAGATTGTGCCTCCAATTGAATACTTCTTGTGATTTCTCCATCATCAATGCCAAGGTGTTTTCCATATTTTTCAAGGATTGCAAGGTGTCATTTCGGTAGGCCGCGAATTCTTATTCCATTTCTTTCATGATTTTGGCCTTAAGATTGGTCGTGTCTTCCTTGGACTCATCTATAACCTCTTGCAATCTCCTTTCTAGGCATTCCAATTCTTCACCATTTTCACTCTACTCATGGATTGGGATTTCTTCAAGCACGGGGGTTTCTTGGCTGCTCACCTCTTTCTCTCCATACTTACCTAGAAGGTTGTCATTGCCCCCTTGTCTGCATCTATGATTCACATATCCTCACATTCACAATAAAATCTCCATCTACATGTCTTTCAATAGGGGTGAATATGGCATTGATATCGAAAGTGATTTTCTCCACAAGCATAGCAAGTAAGTGGCCACTTCATTTTCTCCCACATATGATCCTCAATGGTTTTAAAAGAGCCATTTGGATCTTTTGGCTTGGGCTCCCACCAATTTTCACACTTAAGCTCCATGATGGATTTCTCTTCGGTGGAAGATTTTGCAACTAAAAGTAGTTGCAAGTTAGCTCAAATGCAATTTCAAGTTCAATGGTCAAGAAGAGAAGGAGTAAGGAACACAATGTGCAATGGTTCAACACAAATATGGAATCACAAGTCAACACAATGGAATGGTAAAATGAACAACACTATAGATTCACAAGATAACACAATGGAATACAGTGGAATAAGCAAATGTAATTGAAAGAACAAGTAAAAAAAAACTAGACTTCCTATGCAAATGTGCAACTCATGCCAAGATGTAGTAAGGGTTGATGGAAAGAACGTTGGGAATGAAGATTTCCCGGAATGTCGTTCTCAAAGGATGGACAATTGGAATTGAATATTATGTGGTCAAACACAAGCATGCATTTGCAATAGAAAAGTTAGGCGAGCTCATTGTTTCAAGAGAGTAGAGTGCAAGGAAAAGTAAATGAAAGCAAGTAAAGCAATAAAGTAAACAAAGGTGGTATGAGGTGAATTGGATTGCCATGTCCCTTGTGTATGTGAAGTGAATCAACCTAGGAGTGAAACTATATGGTGAATGAGTCTATGTAAGATGACTTCCAATGTCGTTCACCTCTCGGTCTACTAGGTCTATCATAGGTGTAGAAACACCTTTAAAGTGACTACGCTCCTTATGATCATTTCATCAAACATGTTGTCTACATCTCATTCCAATCTTAGTCCTCTCGGAACTTGAAGGGAATTGCAAGAGGGAAAAGTCTAGGATTAAGCCTCAATCTCTTGCAAGCATAATCTTACTCAAACTTTCACGCATGTGGTGCACTTCACACACAAGAGTCCATACAAATTCCTCTTACAACAAGACATCAACACATAGCCATAACTACCTTGATCAATCCATACACAACACAAGGAAATAGGATCCAATTCACATAGAGATTCTAGCCAAGCATCATTGATCTAGATTGAGATTGAGCAATCAATGGATGAAAGTAGAAGAATTGAATACAATGAAGTTATCTACTCAATAGCAAATAAAATCAATCATCATTTGAAGAAGACAATCCGATAGTTGTAGTTTAGTGGGAAGGAAAGCGTAAACGAGGATATGGAATCCTCGAGTGTCGATCTCAAGGATGACAAATCAGAGTAAGTGGAGTGCAAGACAATCTAGGCAATGTATTCACAATAGTTAACTAGGTGCAAGCGAGGTACGTAGAAGCATATGCACAATGGTAGAGAACGGGAATGTATAAACAACAACAAATATATACAATGGGGAATTGGATGGAAATGACTTGTGCTTATGTATTCAATGGCCTAAGGTAGACAAGAGATGATGCAATGCAAGACCCGCCTAAGGGAGAACTATGGCACCAATACTAAGTCACGTAGGACTTAGTCTCTCACATCCTAAGTCGGTGGAGGCATTCTATCAAACACATGGTGGTCTACCTTCTCCTCCTGGGCGTTGCCCTCTCGGATGAAGGCCGGGGATTGCAAAGGGTAAGACTAATGAAAGTGCAATCTCTTGCTACTTCCACACTCTCACGCTCCTCTCTTATTGGGATCCGACAATGAAGAGAAAATCTATATACACTCCTCTACAAATTAAACATTCTAGGTCAAACAATACATCACATCTCATCAATTATTCAATACAAACATAAATGCATAATCACAAGTCAATCATCAATTCCTAGAAAATCTAGCCACTCAACATTAGGAATTGAAATCACAATGCAATTGAATCAAGCTAGCAATGTAGATTATTATGGAATTAAAGCTAAAGATGAAGAGTTACCAACTTGAATCACAAAGTGAGTTCAACCTACAAATTGGATAGAAGATCACCACAATCTAGGAGAGTTGTCAATTCTCCAAACTTCTAGATCACTCCTTCCTTGAACAATTGAAGATCTCCAAGTGACTAGTTGAATCTAGGTCTAAACTAGAGAGAGAAAAATATACAAACTAAGCTAAGAAGTCTGAAAATGAAAGATAGAATGAGGAATGATGGATTAATTTCTCCAAGGAGGTCTTTTAAGGCTGAAATCTTGACGCGCGTACGCAGCAGCGTACGCGTAGACGTACGTCCCCTATTTTTAGCTTTTCTCATCCACACACGTGGATCTCTGTCGTGGGACTTTATGGTTCCGATCCACGCCGGCCCACGCGCGTGGATCACTTCGTGGATGGAAGTTCGGGCCTTTTTCCATTGCTTCTTCCTCCATTTGGAGTAACTGTGATTGTTTATTGTTTTTAGTTTTTCGCGTATTTAATTCTCTTGCACCAACTGGTCTTCCACGCTTCTGGCGTTGGATAGTGTCGGTGTTAGTATTTGGTCCTTTGGAGACAATTATTCTTGATTGAGCATTTTCTGCAGGAATATAGGACCTAGTTACTCCTTTATAGTCAGTAAACGCATCTGACAGATTGTTAGTTTTTGCAAATTTATTATATTTTGAACTTCAAGTTCAGTTTGATTAGTAAGTGGGTCAAGATATTGAAGATCTTTTTCATCTCATGAAATTTCATGACATTTTTCAAAGCTGGGTTTTTCTCTCCCCCTAATGCCGAGAAATGATCTTCATAAAAAATGCAGTCAGCAAACCGTGCAGTAAACTGATCTGCTGTCGT